AATTTGATTGTATCTAGATACTATAGATACTAAGTGCAACTTTTTGTATGAGCTGATCTGAATCATCGGTAGCAGCGATTCATTATAATCAATCAATGTAATCATCTGATCAATGTAATCATTTGATCATTGTAATAAATCATTGTAATCATTGTAATCAATCATTGTAACCACTAACCACAGTAATTTTGTGTGCTCACTTCAAATCTTTAGTCTAGTCACCACCATAACCGCGCGATTTCACATCTCCAATACGGCAAATTATCTGAGTTTGTTCAATGCTGTTCCTGTATGTTCCCCACGACATTGGGAACGGCTAATAATTAAAAACTCATTATCTATAAGTCTATACACACTCGATAACGTCTACTGCTAGATATCTGAAGGCTCTACTGTATAAGAGCTCTGCAGCAAAGTCAAATTCCTCCGAGGGTATACAGATTCACAGAAACAGGCTCAAAGCTTACCGATTGTATCATTTAAAACCTTAAACCATTATGCATATTACAGTTTCGGTTAATTTTCGTATAATTTCCCAAAATATTTTGTAGTTTCACTTTCGGTTGTACATGCCCTACTATTCTTCATGCTTGCTTTAAACCTCTTTAAGCTCTCTTGTAATAGCCTTATGATGATTCTATCTTGCAGAAAACAGAGTAGCTCACTCCATTGTTATACTAATAGTCAACTTATATAAAACTAATAGTCTTATATAAAACTAATAGTAAACTTATATAAAACTAATAGTAAACTTAATATATAAAATAATACAGAAGACTTGACTGAACTGCAGAGACATAATGCCTCGAACCGTATTTTATGGATACATTTATTTTGATTATGTATACAGAAGTATTATGTTTATGTATGAAAGATATGTATAATAAACAGGTGTTATCCTTTAGTATTTAAGTTATTGTCATTTAATTTGTTTTACCGGTCTTACTTGTGGACTTATCAGATCTTTAGGATGTTTAATTCAGATTTGTGTAAAGTTCGATAATAATAATAGTCAACTTTTGAGATTGTTAATTTTGTAAGGCTGTTAAGCGTAAGATTCTGAATTCTGATACAGTGTCCAGAGGTAATTAATCATTGAATTAATTATCCGGATAGTTAATTATTAAATTAATTATACGCATAATCAATTTAATAATTGATTAACTCCGAAAACTTGCAGGAGAACTTTACACTTAACAGCCAAACAAAATTACGCAAAAGTCAGAGGTAAATAAGCATTGTAACTACACTTACACTTTACAGTGCATGTAACTAGAGTGTTGTGATATAGTAACTATTGACCGACTGATTGCTAGTTCGAGTTGAATAGTATTGGCATCTTCATAGTTCATAAACTGATAGCACTTATCCGTCTTATAAATCACGTGCTGTAACGCGAAAAACCCTCCAATTGATTTGGAAATTTACGTACCATTAGTTCGATCTTTTATCTAACATCTGCGAAAATTCCATGATAATTAAACTAAAAGCTGATAAGTCATGAGCATATAGAGTAGAGGCAGTGAAGACTGGTCTGTATTTTTATAGTATGTAATTTCAAACATAGGTCTTGTTCTTTAAATGACTATACAATGAACCGATTCTTCAGCCCATATATTTCGAGTGCTTCCCTTGTTTGCAATGTTCCTGCATGTGGTAATGTGGTTGTCAGTTGAGCACTTTTCTGGGAAACCAAGCTACAACTTATTATAATAAGTGTGCAACTGCAATTTCAAAATATTAGAAGATTGAGAAAGTCAAAACAATTCTTTAGTTTAAAGGGTCTACTTCTGGCAACATGCCAAATAAATCTTGTTCAACATTAATCCTCAAATATCAAGCTGAATTAATTAATTAATTAATCATTATAATTAGGTACCCTTCGGATTTGACCCGTGCGTATTGTGTAGTAAAGCTGTCAAATGAGGTATGTGTCATACTGTCCTGCTACAATTAACAATGCCATTGTTCTATTTTTGCCCGATAGTACATTTATTACTATCCCTGTACTACTGCAGATGTCATTCGTAACTTACCGTAGTTACCGTGGTTACCGGATTACTAGCACCATTTATAAGTTACTAAATTAGTGCCCAGTTTCTCATCATTCTATTTTTAGCCAAGTCTCTCAGATGTTTCAAGTTTTTGCGAGACTGCAGCATGCAGCTAGTCATGATCACACTGATACAACTGCTAGATTCATAATGGATGGTCTACACATATTAAACCGAGGGTCATAGTTTGGTGGTGCCGGATCATGATCGTGTGGTTTCAGTGATAAGAATTTTATTTAAATGTTAGCAAAAAACATTTACATCTACTGACCACCCTCCACTACCTCTACTTACCACTCTGTACCACCTCTACTCACCACCCTCCACTACATCTACTCACCACCCTCCACTACATCTACTCACCACTCTGTACCACATCTACTCACCACTCTGTACCACCTCTACTCACCACCCTCCACTAACTCTACTTACCACTCTGTACCACCTCTACTCACCACCCTCCACTACATCTACTCACCACCCTCCACTACATCTACTCACCACTCTGTACCACCTCTACTCACCACTCTGTACCACCTCTACTCACCACCCTCCACTACCTCTACTCATCACCCTCCACTACCTCTACTCACCACCCTCCACCACATCTACTCACCACCCTTCACTACCTCTACTCACCACCCTTCACTACCTCTACTCACCACCCTCCACCACATCTACTCACCACCCTATACCACCTCTACTCACCACCCTCCACTAACTCTACTCACCACCCTCCACTACATCTACTGACCACCCTCCACTACATCTACTCACCACTCTGTACCACCTCTACTCACTACCCTCCACTACATCTACTCACTACCTCTACTCACCACCCTCCACTACCTCTACTCCTCTTCTCACCACCCTCCACTACCTCTACTCACCACCCTCCACCACATCTACTCACCACCCTATACCACCTCTACTCACCACCCTCCACTAACTCTACTCACCACCCTCCACTACATCTACTGACCACCCTCCACTACATCTACTCACCACTCTGTACCACCTCTACTCACCACCCTCCACTTCATCTACTCACCACTCTATACCACCTCTACTCACCACTCTATACCACCTCTACTCACCACCCTCCACTACATCTACTCACCACCCTCCACTACCTCTACTCACCACTCTGTACCACCTCTACTCACCACCCTCCACTTCATCTACTCACCACTCTGTACCACCTCTACTCACCACTCTGTACCACCTCTACTCACCACCCTCCACTACATCTACTCACCACTGTATACCACCTCTACTCACCATTATACTAGATCCTGACTAACTACTTTGTAAAAGATGTGGCTGCTAGAAAAGCAGCGGCTATATTACACACATCTCATGTTTATGCCTGCTCACTCGCTCTTATAACTACAACTACTCTGTATAACTAGGCTAGCTAACAAAGGGGGCTAGAACAGCTACAAGTACAATCCTACACTCAATATATCCTCCTGGCAATCTTTGTTGTTTCGTGCCTGGTCTTTAGTATGTTCATTGGTCATTTTGGAGTGGCGTAGAGTGAGCTAGGATTGTCGGGCTACTAATAACGTAATAACATAATAACATATATTTGAATAGCTTTCATTGTTCATGAATGCTTTTTGATCAGTTCAACCTGTTTTATACCTTGGCGTGGTTTTGTTCAGAGTTTATTATATATGTCAAAATGAACAAAGTCACGCCTTCATAGGCGCCGTAATACATTCTAGGTATTATTTCTATCCTATACTCTCATAAATTCTACAGCCTTCATTTTGCTTATCAGGTGATCAAGAAGTTAGCAGTTAGAATTCGGTATTCAAAAATCACGTTTTTCACGCAATTTTAATGAGCGCTATTCAGTGATGCACGCCGCCGCCGGACGCCGCCGCGCCGGCACATTTTCACACGCCGCCACGCCGATACCTCTCAAGTCGGCGTGGCGTGAAAAAATAAAAAACATTTTCAAAGCAAATTGTTTTGCTACTTTTCCCATTCTTAGTAAGATTTTTCGAATCATTCACTGCATACCAGCTACTAGTTCTGAAATAGAAAGAGTATGGAGCCAGTCGGGGTTGATTTTGAACTCTAGGAGATCCAAATTGTCCAACGACAATGTTAAGAATTTGATTTTTCTTAAATATAATTGGGAAAATGTGAAGTCATCCCTGAATGTAACTGAGTAAATTGAATAATGTTTCTTTTCACAAAAGGAAGACCTTTTTCTTGTATTAGCCGTTTAATATGAACATTCCTATTTATTGAAACATAACAGGAATTAGGAATTAACAGGAATTAACAAAATTAGGTCATATTACAATAACAGTGATTAGGTCACATTACAATAACATTGATTCCAGGTATTGTAACACTTAAAGTCATTATACTCATGAAAGTACAAACTAGAGTTTTCTGATGGTAGCATTGATAATTGTAGTTCAGCGGGTGAATGTCGTATTTTATGGGGCTACTCGCTGCTATGAGGCCACTTCGTTACGTTCATCATCACATTCAGCCACGTTTTCGCCATAAATGCTTTAAAAACCACACTTATTACATCATTATTTCATGCGCAATTTTTGTGGGCCTTGTAATTAAAACCTAAATTTTGACAAAATTATGTTCCACGCCGCCGAACGCCGCCACGCCGGGCCATTTTGGGCACGCCGCCGCCGGTTGGCGAAAAATGAACCGGCGTGCATCACTGGCGCTATTTCAAAGTCGATAGGATTTATGTGATCTTCAATGGAATCGCACCTGTTCGACAATGGGCTCTATCAGTTATGAGGCTTCAGTACTTACAGGCAGTTCCTTTACAACTTTCCGGCAGTATTTCCGTCACAGTCATCTGAAGTGCATGGTACTGTCGATAGTTAGCACCGTTTAATGGATATATTTCGTACCAGTTTCTCAACTTTTCATATAGCTACTTGCTTTTCCAGTCGCCATGATACGACAGCAGCAGCAGATATACATATTTGGGACCTTAGCTCTAGTTCTAGTGGTGGTGATGACGCAAGAGTTCGTGGTGACGCAGGAGTGGGATCAGTTTAAGTGTCTGCAATGCCCGAAAGATGACAATCTAATGTGTTTCAACAACAGGTCAGTGTGATCCTCACTATTTCTATATTTCAAGTTTGAATTAAAGATGGATGGTGGTTTTTAAATAGATGTTTAGTGTGGAGGTCTAATAAAGGCCATACCTAACCACATATTATTATTATCCCAAAGTTTCGTGTAAATGGATCCATGATAATCTGCCTGGCCACGAAGATGATCGATATTCTTTGCTGTTCGCCATTTTATATTTTGGCAATGGCAGAAAGTTTCACACCATTTGATCGCAATTCTGACTTCATTCTAACATCTCCACAGGTCGTGTAACGCAACAACAACCGGCTACAACTACTGCTTCTACTACATGTACCAAGTAGAAACAGACGAGATAGCAGCAGACTACAACTCCAGAGCGTGGGGCTGCACAGAATCAAAAGAAACATGTGAGAGCGGTTGTAACGACGACGAGCTGTGCACGGACTATAGGTGCTGCTACGCTGATACGTACTTTAATAACGACACCAGTTTGAATATGACTGATTACAGGAAGTGTATTTACGGCAAGTCTGGAGAGTCGGGACTGAGGAGGGGTTTGTGGGCTGCTGGCCTGGTCGGGGTAGCAATAGTCAGGGATCTTGTCGGGATATGAGTGGGGATGACGGGATATTTGGGTTTCTGTTTACATCTTCTGCTCAGCGTTCTTTGACTGGATAGAAGGGATGGTGGAATTATTTACCAGGGAAGACAATCTACAGTTAGGGGATATGTTGGATGTGAGTTATCAATAATACTCAGGATATTGGGGTTAATCATTGCTTTTAGATCTTGAGTTTTGACTCGTTAACCTATTGGTGAAATATCTGGCTTGAACAAGAGAACAAGGTACTGTACAAAGCCACGACCCAGGAGATAACTTTATATTTCACAATCAGACTCAGAGTCAGAAGACATCACTTTTTCACAGTGCTTGGCGTTTGTGTTTTCTTGCTGCTGCTAAGCTTGCTTTTTACTTCCAATCTCAAAAAAAGGAATACCCATCCTCTCCTCCAAATTATCTAACAAAATAAACTTAATAATATAACATTTACAAAACAGAGAAACAAAAGGGCAAGAACAGTTCAAAGCAATCATTTCTAGTTTGTTAGTTTTAGTGTTAGTTACTTAATAACTTTGAGCTGATCAGTGCTACTGCTAGTTTGTTTCTATATCAGAATCTTTCTCAGTACACTTAGGATTATATCTAGTCAACAAATAAGCCTGCTCGCTTCTCCTCGGCCAGTACATCTTGTTAAACTCCCGAATAGTCCCCGGAAGAACTCTATAAGTGTTTGTTGGCAGAAAACTCGCCACATAGATAAAGGACAAATAAATAACCCCAAACACAAGGAAAGAGTACTCGTGGATGTATGAGGATTGTTCGGATAGCGTGGAGAGGTCCACTGTGGTTGGGAGGGAGTCTATCCCAGCTATTAGAGCCCCCAACTTTAGGAAACATTTCTCTACAAAGTAGGAGAGTCCGAACACTGTGGCCCGGTAACACGTCGGTGGGATCTGAAATATGTGGGATTATTTTTCTTATTCATATTGTCAGCAATTTTTTTGAATTATGCGTTGTTATTTTCATGTTTATCATTATATCATGCCTTCATATTGATTTATTTGTTGGTCTAACGAAAAAAATCGCAATAAATTTGATAACTGTTTTGAAAACTTTGAAAAAACAGCAGAGGCAACATATATTTATAATTATAAGTGCGGTGGGTGCGGACTGCGGACTGCAGAATCGCACTATTGATCTGTAAATATATTGACCTGTAAATTAAAAGAGACTTTGGAAGATTTTTGAAGAGAAGCTTTTCTGCCGTCGCCTTGACCAAAATTTCGCCGTTTTGACTGAATTATTGACCAATGATCAATCAGTGAAGTCGGTGAAAGTGAAACAATTCGCCATCAAAGTACTGAAACCAGTATATCCGGAGAAAACTTTGATGCAATGACAATTTTTAATATGTCCTACCGATAGGACATTTTCAAATTTTAGCTTTCCGCGACCCAAATTTCACTGTTTTGACTGAATTTTTGCTTGAATGACCACGAAGATCACAATTTCGGACAGATGACTTTTTTTTCTGGTACCCTGAGTCGGACTGATGTCGCTGTCGGACAGATGTCGTGTTACCCTGTAACCAGCCGTATGAATCTGGACGTTATTATTTTTTATAGACCATGAACATTATTTGTTGACCTACCAACCCTTATTGACGTTATTATTTTTTATAGACCATGAACATTATTTGTTGACCTACCAACCCTATTGCTTCAACAGAATCATGACCTTTGCTTAATAGTGCCTACGCTCCACGCATAAAAAACCCAGTGACTTAGTCGACCTGCTCGATTCCTTTTGAGTGAGATGTTTGTCGCTCAGGAACTAAGGGCCCATTTTAGCTCAAGCAACTATTTGTTCCTTGCAGCAGAGCTACGTTCACACTTCTTCTCTCGCCCGGTTAACAGTAACTCTTGTAATATGACCAATTTTTAAATTTTTCAAACATATCTTTTTTTCTGACTCGTGGACTTTTTACTTTTCTCGTATAGTAGTAGCATGCATACATTTCCCTATATCCAGTATCCACCCAGTATACAAGCGATAATAGGACAGTAGCCTGATAGCGTGTTGAGCAACAGTTATTTCACGAGGCGTGGTGTAATCGCATTATCGCATTATACGCAGTTAGATTAGCGTATATTATTTGATTTGACGCTAATGGTAAAACTGTAAGAGAAACAAATGAAATATCTGTAGGAACTATTTCAATTTGGACAAAAATCAATATGTACGATTATGGATCAAAACTTATAAATATATGTTGATGAGTCTAATAATTAGTATTTATTTCACCTTACTAATACTTCAGAGAATAATCCTAGGGATCAAACAACTATTGAAGGTCTAACGTTCACCCTGAACTGTAACGGATTTGAAGGGGACATGGTGTATCTCACAGACCTGGATTATACTTCACATAGTGGCCATGGAATTGCTGAAGTTATGATATATGGCATTATAGGTATGTATATTAATATTATATAATATATAATGTATTCTATGTACATGGCATTATTGTTTTATTATTATTCGCGGCACGAACACAGTGGCACCATTTAATGATTGTATTTTTACGAGAAATCGTCCAATTTGACACCAAAATGGCCGGCATGACTGCAGAGCAAGCTATCAGTGTCGAAAGATTAAAATCGAAAGATTAATAACTAAGATATCAAACAGGGGGAAAAGAGTGCACTTATTTGACTTAATTATTGTTAAACAGGATCGTACACACAAAAATGATTAATAAATTAATACCTAATAATGCGGTAATCTGTACCGCCAAACTAGCGCCAAACTAGCGCCAAACGTCTGGAGTCATTCCCACCATATGCCCTCACTGACTGCCAGAGATTATTTGAGAAGCTAATCTAATTTTCAACACGGGAACTGAACGGCTTTCCAGGCCTCAGGCCTTATAGGAATCAAGGCTCAAGCTTGATTGCCGGGAGCGAAATTGATGAGATTCAGTCTCCGAGTTGTCACTTTTTCATCTCAGGAGCTTCACAAAAGTTATAATATTGAACACTCTAGTCTCTACTTCAATTATCCTCATCGGCAGCTTAATTAGCCATCCTGCCCGTCTATACAAATAATGGTAAAATAATAATAATTGTAAAACCTTCTATGTGGATTATTCATACATCTTGAATTGTCAGGAAATTTGATCTAAGACACCGACAATACGTCTAAGATGGCAAGTTCGTACGGTACGTACCTTTAAATTAGCTGTACGGTACGTACTTAATAAAGTAGGCTGAAAGGTACAAATCCAGTTGATAGTAATGGAAACAAAAACTAGACGGTACGTGAGACCAATTTTAGAGATTACGAGTATATTATGGACAAGCGTAGATTAAGGTTGCGACCTGAGCTAGCTGAAAAGCTGGTGTTCGTATACTGCAACAAAAGGATGAAGCTTTGGGTTTAACGATAATTACAAGTAGTAGTAGTGTAGTACCGGTTAAGATCGATCCGGTAAACAAATTTTCCTCTTAAATCTTTTATTGTTTTAACCACTGTGTTTATTTTCGACTTCTATCTCAAAAATTATGACGATAATACTAATCAAAAATTGCAAGTAATTCACTGAAGTTGATTCTAAAAATTTGAAAAAAAATTGTACCTTACAGTGCCTGTACGGTACGTACCTTTAAAAGTAGCTGTACCGTACGTACTTAAAGCCCTGTACCGTACGTACTTGCCATCTAAGCAATACGTAAGACACCTTGCAAGTTAATTGTTTTGTTAAACACAACAATCTTGTAACTTTATATACTTTATATACTAGGCTGTTGAATAATCTAACCTGAGAGTACCTAAACGCTGTTAGTTTGGCGAATTGTTCCGCTTAATTGCGAAGTTTTTGGTCACAAAATTTGCCGCACATAAAAAAGTTTTGGTCAGGTGCGAAATCACACTATATAAAAACCATGACCGCACCTACATATTATGTTGCCTCTGAACAAGAGACTTTCAGGAAAACTTTAAACTTCTCACAACACTGCAATCACACATACCTGAAGGGTAAGGAGAAGGATAACAATATGTAGAGTTCTGTTGACAGGTATAAGCACCAAACCAGCTATGTTGTTAATATTGAATATACCCGAACCAATAGGTAGCTCCCCAATAAAGTAACAGCTTATTGTTATCCAGCTGAGGAAAAGAGAAGTTATTAAATAGTAGAGGAAATGAGAGGTTATGGAGAAGGGGAGTATATCAGTAGATAAATAGGAGTAACTGGACGTGGGGAGTGGGTACACAAATGGTTGGAACGTGTAGCTACGACATTAAATAAGTCAGAAGATAAGTAAGTAACACGTGATGCCCATATAAGGAGCTAAATAACTAACCCCAGCACGAGTACGGTTGATCTGAGGTTGACGTTTTTAGCACACAGATAACCAGCGAGGGGCACGGCTATCAGCCTCAGGGACGCTTCTACTGTGTACCTAATGTTCTTATCAGCTAATAAGGTCCACACCTGGGGGATTGTTTCAACTTTACAGAAATTCAAACTTCATCTGTAACTACTGTGAAAGTGTGAAGAGTTCATTTCAAATCATGAAACAGTGCCAAGAAAGAGTAGTACTAATTTACGCATTTATTTGGCTTGTATGGTACGTAGAAAATAAAGATCTAGGTATGTAACCACTGAAATATTTTCTGTTTGAATATCTAACCTGGCCTGAGCTGGGTGTAGTGGTCATGGCAACCACTCCTTTTAGATAGAAGAGGACAAAAGCAGTGAAGAGGAACCGTTTGTTAGTTTTGTAGTCAAACTTTAGGTCCTCTGCGAAGTCTGTAGGTACTGCTATCTGCTCATCTTCAAACAAACTAGAGATTATTGGGAATTAAAGTTTTTATTGAGATATTCTTTGTAGTCAGTGGACTGTTAGATAGGCCCAATCTACAATTGGATGACATGTAAGCAACTCCGCAAACGCATATTCTGGAATTTGAAGAAAAAGTGGTGGGGAGAATTCTCCCCTGTATATTAGTTATGAACCACACACTTGACAAGTGGTGGGTGCGACGGTCCTACCCTGAAATTCCAACTAAGTCTAGACATGGTTATAATGCCCTTCTTCACAAGCTCGATAGGGGCCGCACAAGCAATGGGTGAGAGTTTCCTACAATTACTGACCCGACCGTTAAGGTTGATCAATCTGCCGTGATTGAATCGGGATGGGCCACATGACTTTAACAAGGTTCCAAATCCAAGGTAAGACACGCCACGGTGGGTTAGGTCTAAAGTTCTTTATATATGTGGTAGTGACACAAAATATTTCCTTGTATGTTGAGTGAGATTTCAGAGTTGTGAATTATATAAGATTGATGTACGTAACCGGTAATTCAATTACGAAAATGTGGAGTAATACCAATTATCAGCCGGGAAATCATTGAAATGTTGATTTAATTGAGGTGATGAGGTATGCATTATAATGCAAGAAATTAAGGCTGACTCAGATGACATCCTCTTATAATGGACTGTGCGGCGTGCAGTCAATGACGTGTAGATATATCCATGTTCAAGCCGGGCTCGTTGATTCGAATTTTGTTATTGTCTCAAAACGGACTTTTTATTTTCCAATTTCGAAGCCGGCCTAATAGTCCGTAGGACGGGCATACCGCTAGTATTACTATTACTTAATTAAACTCACGCTATATTAAGTTTGTGAAGGGTATCTTTAGCAGCTTCAGTGCTCTGATAAACTCTGTATCTGGGAGACAGTGGTAAGTGAACTAGCAGGGTTGAGAGGATTGAGTTGAAGGCAAGAAGACAGCCGGTAAAGGCTCTCCAGGAGTTGTAGATCAGAAGACGGAGACCGCATCCCAGGTAGATTCCTAGACTGGGGAGTACTGAGGTGAGACTGTGGTTTTGTTTAGGGATTGTTCACATGTTACTATTATTGGTTAATGCGGTTACTTAATAAACCCTTAACCATCTGAACAAAAAATAGCTTGTCTGACAATCTGACATCTCCCGGTACTTGATATAGCACTTACCAGGTAAGTGCAGCATTGAGAATAACAAAAGGATAGTGAAGATTGTAGGGCAGCATTTCTGTTACCATGACTACAATACTTGTTACACTCATGTAGATAGAGAAACCTGGACAAGAGTAAAGGCTGTTAGTTTTATTTGTTGATACCAAAATGGTTTGCAACACTTTGATCCGGGACTTTAAAAAACAATATGATCCGGAAACAATAAATAAGTGTTAAGAAAATAATTTGTTTATTTAAAAAAAGTCACCTCTATAATTTGAATATCTAACCTAGCAAGAAAAGACCGAGTGAGAATATTTGTACTGTTCTGCATACACTCAGAGTGATGAGGGAGAGGAGGATAATCAGGAAACTTATCTTAAAACTCATCTTCCTTCCAAAAAGATCTCCAACTATCCCTCCCACAAACGCACCTAAACCTGGGGCGGATTGAGAAGTCAGTTTTAATTAAGCTGTGTTCGCTATTGAATTTAATTCAGTTACATTTTAGTGTGACAATTCTGTGAAAATTTCCAAAGTTTACTGAAAGGAAATACCTAAAAATAAAATATAATTCCTCCTTACCTGCTCCGATGCCAGTAATATCTAATATTGTCTGTGATTCGTCCTCTCTGTTGCAGTACATACCAAACTGAAGGTAGTTAGTGAGATCACGTTACCTCCAGATGGAGATCCTTATTCCCTTATTTAACATAATACTAACGAACAGACGAACTTGACACTTAATCAGCGGCCAGCCCTCATGGAATTCTTGAAATACTCAATTATACATGGACTATTTAATTGAGAAATAGTGTGGAGAATCTCCACTGGAGGTGATCCATACATTTTCATACAATTGATATAATAGTGATTTTATGATAAGTTTCTTTTAGTGACCAACAAAATAAGCGTCAAAAGCCTAATCAAACATCAGTCTCGTCCAGCCTCCTTGAATAATTAAATACTAATCAAGTTTATGACCATGAAATTGACTTCAAAATGTGATTAAGATACTGATTACTAAGTGCTAAAGCCAATCCCCCTCACCTACTGTCACACACTAATGACCCTCACATACCTCGGTGGAGAAGAGAGCCTCCATTCCATCGTCCCAGGAGAAGGAGAAGGTGGGATCCTTGTAGAGGGACTGACAGAAGGTGGTCCGGTTAGTGGTGGAGTTAGAGCAGGCTGCCTGACCTCGTACTGGGTGTTTTCTGGGTGGACCGCAGCTGAAGAGGGGAGAGTGTGTTAGGTTTGGGGGTATCGAGTTGTAACAGTGCTTCGTATTAGCAAATTAATATTAACGTGATCCTAGATTACGTTGCTCAACAATGACTTACTTGACTTACTGACTTAAGGCGGCTTCAGCGTCCGAGTATTGATGCGCTGTCTCCATAAAACTCTATCCGCCATAAGTCCGCCCATTTCTCCAGTGTCGTTGAGACCCGTGTCAGCTCGTAGGCTATCAACATAGGTCATGGCTGGTCTCCCCCTACTCCGCACCCCATGAGTTGGTTCCCAGAGTAGCAAGCGGTTTGCGACTAGTTCTGGGTGCCGGTGGATATGGCCTGCTAGTCGCATCCTGCGCTCTTGGATCTTCATGGTTGCTCTCGGTAGGTTGCCATAGACTTCTTTGTTGGTTTTTCGCTGCTTCCAATCCACATTGAGTGCCATCCTTAGCATTCTAGTGTAGCAGCCATCAATGCGTTTCTTCAATTGCTCTGTCAACGTCCACGTCTCAGAACCATAAAGAAGTATTGACTCCACAGTAGCAACAAATAGACGGATCTTTAATCCTCTTCTAAGGTCAGACTTCCACATCTTCTTTAGCTTGTGGCAGGCTGCCCAAGCCTTAGCTTTTCTGACCCGCAGGTCCCTCTCTGTTGTTGCTATCCAAGCTCCAAGGTAAACAAAGTCTGTCACCTTTTCCAGCTGGTTTCCAGAACAGCTATTAAGACTGCTCGCCTCCTCTGTCATGTTCAGAGTCATGAACTTAGTTTTAGTGCCGTTCATGGCTAGCCCAACACTCAGTGCTGCTTTCTCAAGCCTGTCCAGGAGTAGTTTTGCCCCTTCAATGGTATCAGTGATAAGGGCAACATCATCTGCAAACTAGACGTCTGCGATCTTCTCGGCACCAATCCTTCTACTCCGTGCAGGCCTGAGAGTGAACCCAGAGTCCGAGTCATCATCGTCTATAGTCATTGTCATGATATAGTCAATCACGATAATGAACAAGTACGGGGCAAGAGTGTCTCCTTGCAGTACTCCAGCCAGGATATCAAAAATTTCTGTTATACCATCGGCTGTAACTACTTTAGCCTTTGTGCTCGTATAGATACCCTCAATGAGCCGCACTATGGCTTCTGGTATGCCATATGCTTTCAATATCTTCATGAGCAAACCTCTATGCACACTATCGAACGCCTTTTTGAAATCAATGAAAACCATGGTGGCCTTTAGATTTTTGGCTCTAGCACCCTCCATAATTCTTCGTAGAGCAAGGATGTGCGATGTTGTAGAGCGCCCAGGTCTAAAGCCATTCTGGTTGTCCCTTAAAACTTCCTCAAGACTTGGCTTCATCCTGTTCAGCAACATTTTGTTCAGAGTTTTACTGACTATCGATGTCAGAGATATTCCTTTGTAGTTGTCGGTCTTAGTGAGGTCCCCTTTCTTTGTCACAGGAACAATATTACTGAGCTTCCATTGATCGGGCATGAGACCATCACATAATGCGTCGTTGCAGAACTTCAGGATGACGTCATCGATGTCCACCCTCTTCATCACTTCAGGTGAGATACCATCATCACCATAAGCTTTGCCTTCTACTATCTGCTTTTTGGCAAGACGTAGTTCCTCAATGGTGAACGGGCCATCCTCTATATTCAGTGGGGGGTGTATATTCCTGATCAGAATGCTATTGTCAGGGACTGTGGGTGGCTGTCCAAGTAACCCAGAGAAGTGCTTCCTCCAGTTCTCAAGACGTTCTGTTGAGCTGCCCCCTTCCACGAGTCCACAGCTGGGATTTGTCCTCCCTGAAATATCGTTGACAAGCTTCCAGCTTTCCTTGTTCTTACAACGATCAGCAGTATCCTCAACTTTCCTGATCTTTCCTTTCAGGATCTCCTCTTCTACCTCTTTGTAGCAGGCCTTTAACAAATCCTTTTTAGTGGCGACTTCCTCTCTCTTCTCCTCACAAGGCTCCTGATGGTATTGGTCCTTGGCCAAGAACTGTCCCCTCCTTGCACTGTCCACTCTTGGGTCACTTGAGGGGTCAATCTGCTTTTGTCGAGTCTTCTTTGGCAGAAGGCTCTTGTTTGCCGCCTCAATAGCAACCATAAGCTTCCCATAGCTTTCAGTGGCCCCATCATCCTCCTCTACCAGGCCAGAGAATCTATTCCGAACTTCAATTGCATACTTTTTTTGAAGCTCACCATCCGACTTCAGGGCACTATAAACATAGTTAACTTTTTTCGGAGGCCTGTGTCCTTGCTCAACAATACTTAATAGTATAAACATGGTGGTTACAAATCAACAACTCTTCGTCTTTAACATTCACACACTAACCTCCATTTAGTGTAGTCGATGTTGTTACCGTAGTAGGAGAAGGTGTCAGTGGAGTACAGCACCAACAGACTCAGCAACACTTCTGTTACCAGCACCTGCACATATCAGAGATATAATCTATGTGGTGTATATACAGTGGAAAGGGTACTCACATGCAAACAGAAAAAACAGTTGTTTTCATAGCGACAGATCTCCTCTTGGCAGTGACAATAGAAACGAAACAAATACCAACTAAAACTGTGCTTCAAACCACTCACCACATTATGTCGGATGTTAAATCGCAGAAGGAGGTGGTCAACGGACACGAAAAGTGTCCTGGAGGGAGAAGCGCTGTCGGGTGTCCTAGGTTTTGGGACTATGGAGGTTGGGGAGGTTGCTCTGGAGGTCCTGGAGGTGTTGTCGGTTGTTCTCAGTGGTGGAGCTCTGGAGGTGTTGTCGGTGGTCCTGATTGGGCTGATACCCAATGGATCCGCTGTTGTACTGATACTCGTGTTATATATCTTATCTGGATCAGGCTGCAAGGTATTGTTTCAACTAACTGGGATAACTGTGCAGGAACTAAAAAGTATATCTACCGTCAAGAAGCTGGCGACGGCATGATAACTAACATGTTTACTTGCAGGAAAGAACTGACCAATAGCGGAGTGAATTAAAAACCAGATCGTCCTATTACAGATTGATGACTCTCAACTAGTATATATATATCAACTGTAGGGGCTGAAATATAGTAGATAGATCTCACCTGAGCTAACATTTACATTTTGCAGTCCAGCTCGTCAGTCAGATGTAACAAAATCAGAACTCACTAGTTGATGGGAAAGTATAAGTATATCCTACACAATGGTCGGTGTTATATTATCTCAGTTGTAAATCGTTATCTTTCTGACGTTAGGTTATGATTATTAATAATATCGTTATCTAGGCTAGAGTCGTTACGTCCAACAGTAATTGTAATATTCACGAACATGTAAAAATTCTATTTGATCATTTTAAGCTTAAATGTTACATGAGTGTGGTTCGTCGTGAAGACAGAAAAGTTTCTAAAACAGGTTGCAAAAATTGTGTTTTGACCTTATAAGTAGTAGACCGGGAGATTTAGAAATTGACGAAAGTTATCAGTAGAGCAGTGGCAGTATCAGTTTCAAAAGTAATTCCTATATCAAATTTAAGTTATTGGTTTTACAAGAACCGGAAGTGGGACTAAGAAACTTAATAAATTACATGAGCAAACTGATGTTTAAAGTTTCGGAATCTGAACGCAAAAAACCTATCAAATTAATTCTAGGTTTCACAAAGACGAGATAAGAAACGAGATGAGTAAACTGATTTAAAAGAGTGTAACACAGGACTAGAGAGCGTTGAGTGCAGACATGAACAAGATACTAATATTGTTATTGTACATATTCCATGATCAATTTAAGGTTACTTGGTAACTTGATCACCTAAATGTGGACTTATCACACTGTGTTGCGAGTATTTCAAGGACTAAAATATATCAAAGATAATAATCTTCATCAAAGAAACATCTGCTGTAAATTTCTGAAATTATTCAACATTTACGTCTTACAACACACATAATCAATGACTGACTAATTAATCATGAAAATCGTCACGTACATGCCGCCAGTGTGTTGCAGCTGATAACAGTCTACAAATACTGGTAAATCTAATAATGACCAGTTCAGCAGCTAATCTCTTTTCGCTCAGTATTACACTGTGTTATAATTACACGTCTTTCATGATGATGAACTGTAAAATCCCGGGCTTTAGATTGCCGACAAGATAACACAGACCGCCCTGAGCTCGGGAAACAGCAGTCGTATAAAATGAAGCTACCTATAGCTTGTAGGTTCCGTACCGTGGAAGCATGCTATTCTTATCTAGCAGTTAACAACAAAGTTACAAGTTATGTACCTCATTAAACGTGAAACACACTAAACACTAGACACACCCTCAACATTAGAACTGAAAGAGAGTAGATAACCTGAATAAACAATATAAAATAGACGCAGAGTTACACCTGTTACGGTCTTTACGCCACATGTGACCCTGAAACTGTGGGACCACGTCACTTTGTCTCAGTGGAACAGTTACTGAAGTACTAGTAGTAGTACCCAACAATACATCACCTTACCTATGTAACACGTCCTCACGGCTATGTATATTGTATATAACTCCTTTTTCAGATCCCAGTTTAATATTGAGGGAAAAAGTGAGAAAGTGTAAACTGTAGAGGAAAAGAGAATAAGATATCGCTCGCATATTAGTACGTAAGCCCTATAAGCCTGCATGGGGGGGGGTGGGAGTTTTGAAAAACTAACGCTAGTGTAATTTCTACACAATAGCTATGTGCAAAATTGGTTTAAAAAGGGGAGGGGGCACTTTATTTCACAAAAACGGTTCACGTAATATGTGAATGATCCCTAATAAATACGAGTGAAAAGAAAGGCCTTCTAGTTCTACATGTAGAGTGTACGTGTTACTGACTGCTACAATATAATTTGATCGTGAACGCCAGGATCAAGACTTATCACCGTCGGAGGGGGTGTTATCACACATCTCTGTGGTGACACAGGAATTTAAGAGAAGGCTCTCCAAGACTCCAATCAGCCATTTACATTCCTAGACAAATATGATTACCACTGGTATCAACTATCATATCATCACGACAATATGTGACCACATTACACTGTGTTTGAACTGAGTGTAGGTAACTACTAGATATATCTGAACACATATTATGAACCAGATAGTTATTTACCTATTGCTGGGAAGGACCTTGGCACAACAAGATTCAAATTCAAACAAATAAAGCAACTATCTAGCGTATCTGTAAGCTGACTGAAGAAATATGTAACTTATAAATCGCTATAATACAATATACATTATACATTTACAAGTTAAAGAGAATACAACACTCAGCAGTAAATAACAGCAATTCTGTGAATAAGTGGTCCTACACAAACAAAACATGCAGTTACTTGGTGTGGTCATGAAATTATACACACCAAACTTCCGATAATTATAAAAATAAAGTTGTCGTAAAATTAACATGAATAGAGTCTCATGGGGTGAAGGCGATGTTATTGAATAATTTAACTGAGTGTAAAATTATACGTCACTTCTGGTGAAATCATGCCCGTTTCGGGGAAATAAAAGTCTGCGAACCTTATAATAAAACTTGTGGCTATTTACATCCCATGCATAAAAGCACAATATTTGTGAATGAAATTAACAAATTGAACGATCAGTTATAGCTTTATAATGCTGTGGGTACATTATGCTCCCACTAAAAATATAGTTTTATTTAGATTTCCAGAAATCAGTCCCTCTCTTTTGAGCTTTGTTGAGAGTGGCGCTAGCTAACGAAGTACAGGATGATGCTCGAGAAAGGACCGATTCGTCCAAGTCTTTTGTCCAACCGTTTGCTTTCTCAGCGGGTTTCGAGGGAGATGAGAAATCCAGTTTCTCTTTGATCTGTGAACATGGTATTGAATATCATGTCGTGATAAAACATATTCAAATCATAAATTTATAGTTCTGAACATCAATGCAGCTATTGCATGACGTTCATTTGAAATATACCTATAAGTATAGCAAAAGAATTAACTAGAAGAAAACAGCGGTAACATACCTGATCTGATAAGATAGGGAAGAAGGGCTGGGTTCCTTCTGGGAGCTTACTATCTGTCTTCACTGGAGCCGGAGTGGTGGTGTCCAGATGATGTCTGGAGCCTCCCTGTTCTTGAATTAGTGTCGGCGTCGCCACTCTTCCCGCCAAAACTGCAGTCTTTATTTCGGGTGCTCTGGAAATCCTAAGTTGTTAGAGTTAAGTAAACGGTACTTATACTTAATTACCAAACTTTCTCAATATAAGAAGTAGATAGTAGCGTCTACCATAATTAGTACCCACATTCGCTACTAACAAGCAGACCTATTATGTGCTATTTTCTTCGTAACCACTAAACAGGTATATAAACTATAGAGGGATAGAACCAATAAATGTTTCATCAAGACTTTAAAATTAATCAAATAAGGTTTACTCACGGTTCAGACTTGTCTTTGCGAGTAGTTCTGTCCAAATGATGCCTGGAGCCCTGGTTCCTCAATCTGGGAGTGGGAACTCTGTCTCCAAACAGACTGAAACTCCTATCAGCTGTTCTTGGAGTCGAGCAAACTGAGGCTTCTTTCTCGGCTATTACTGCCACTTCCTTGAGTGCTTTCTTGGAAGAAACTAAATCAGGAGATTTTGACTTAGCTTTCACAGGAGAGGGATTTTTGCTGACGTCATCAATGAGGGACTCTGTCTTAATTACGAGGTGATCTATGTTTGGAACTTCTTCCGTATCTTCCAAATCAGTGACCACTATATCATTTTCTAGTTTGGGAGTTTCAGCTGCGACCGCAGGCACTGATATCGGAAATGCGACCTCTTTCTGAAATATGCTTTGTTGCTAGCAGGTAAAAGTATAAACATCCTTTTTGCACACTTAACAGGCTTTCACAATGGACAATACTACAATACAATAGCCATTGTAAGCCAGGTAACATTTGACAATAGCCAGACATCTACGTACCGTGTAGTCCGGCCCAATGCGTCAGTTAAAACAACTTTTGCGCGCGCGATCATTATTATATTTATAAACACACAGTGTTGCCAATGAAAATGAGCTAAATAAAATCGATTCGGAGTTCGCGTCCGCGCTTTATTGATAAATACAGTTGTGGCTTCAGAATCTCTTAAATCCATGACAACGTGAACTCGAAACGTAGTATCTAAAATTTAGAGTGATTATAAACTTACAGCAGCTGCTTGCTTCTCTTTTGGTATGACTCTCACCGATTCTGCTGATCCTGAAGGGCGAAACGATGATGAACGGGCAACCTAAAATTGGCTTCTGCTTTGAAAAGCATCATATAATCAGAAATACAAAGTAACTTTATGTTCTGAAGATATTTGCTTTGACACACTGTGTTATTTAAAAGTACTGTTCAGACGACGAAACTTCCCGAAAATGTAACTGCATGATGGCTGAGGAATGTGTTGGTTGAATGATTTTATGAAGGAGTAAATCAGGGGAAATCTTTTTGACATTCATCATGTTTATTTCTAGTTTCGTTCAGTGATTTGCTTTGTCAAGCCAATTTTAACACAGCTATAGAGTGCAGCTATAGCAACATTGTCGAGATGAAATGTTTTCAAGCTATCACGCTGATATTAGTCACATTGCATCTAAGTTATTGTATTGAAGCAGATGAAGACGACATCTCTGTGATGGAATTCTTTGCAGATATAGCCAATGATGTATGTCACGAGCGAGGGGACTGTTTTGATAATGTATTGGAAGATCTTATATTTCTTATCAGTGGGGACCCATACGACCCCACAGATAGGGATACTGGGTCGACGAGAATGACAGTATTGCTAGAAGTTATCGATGACAAGTGTGAAATGGGTAAGGAATGCACGGATAACTTGTTAGCAAAAATGAGAGACCGTGTTATGAATGAACGTGAAGAATACAATGATGCAACCAATGATGAAATCAATGATGAAATCAATGATGAAACCAATGATGAAATCAATTATGAAATCAATGAATTAATTCTAATCACAAATGATAACACTGAAACAAGTAATAAACCGGAAGAGATCTTAGGGACAGCAGATAACGATGAAGAATTGGTCCAGAATGTACTATCGGATAGCCTTCAAATGAACCAAAATGACAATGCTAAAGTTAAGAATGAATCGGAAGAGGCTTCGATTACCGATAAACCATCAGACAGCCTTCAAGGTCAAATGAAGAAGCCCGATGAAAAAGTTGATGACGATGGCGACTTCAAGGAAAGTATTTTTGAACGTTTTGAGCTAAAAGAGAATCTGGATGAAACTATTCTGAGTATGATGGTAAAAAATGAGTGTCAGCAGAACAGGGCAGAATGTGAAAAATGGGTAGCAAAGCAAAAGAAACTTGGCCTCGATCATGTAGGCAAGATAACGCGTGATAATAACGGAAATCCTGTAGTTGAAGTTCCGTTGAGTGTCATTTTTGAGGAAGAACTCAATATTTCCGATGGCAGTGATGACCCAAAATAGTTGTTTTGGTTATGCAAGTCGAATTTTTGTTGTAATTGTCATGTAATATACATTTATTTTTTTGATAAAAATGTTAAATTTTTGACTGCCTAACATCAGTTCAGCAGCTGCTTGCTCATCTTTTGGGATGGCTCTCACCAATTCTGCTGATCCTGAAGGGTGAAACGATGATAAACGGGCAACCTAAAATTGGCTTATGCTATGTAAAGTGTCATATCATAATAAGAAATTAAAAATTAACTTTTTGAAAATTATTGCTTTGACGCATCACGCAATGCGTTATTTATGAGTTACAGCAGGGTGTCATAATTATTGGCGCGTAGACAATTTTGCGTGAAATTTAAGCTTACCCAAGCTTTTAGAAACGATCATTACTTGACTTCTGAGGGTCAGTTTCCTATGCTATGGAGTCTTGATCATTCGAGAGATAATCCTTTATACTACAGTTCAGTCTAAAAACGAAGTCCGAAAGAAGTTGAATTTCGTCGATAATCACGACGTAAGAGAAAATTTGGATTATTGGACTTGAAGCCTTCGGCTACTTCCCCTGAATTCCAGGATGAGTCCGCTCGACTAAATTTTATTTCATCAGTTAGAGGAGAAAGAGAGCTTTTATAAAATCTATAGTTTTCCATATGTTTCGTTATCGCCTGAAGAGCTGTACACTTTAGTCTAAAGAATAATTTCAGAAAAAATTCACCAAAAAAAAATTACACATAAATCCCTTACTCCTTCGTAAATCTAACCAAGTATGGAATCGACCCTTTAAATAACGGCCTAAATTATGGGTTTTGAGGTACATCAACACAAAATTCTGAAGAAAAAGTTCAGACGGTTGTCTACAGACCAATTTTTGAATTTTGTAATTCCGATATTCAGAAGTCAAGTTATGAACCGTCGAAAAATATTGATTTCATCATAAAATACACATAAAATTTCAAACACGCCAATAATTCTGACACCCTGCTGTATTTACTGACGACGGAACTTTCCGGAAATATAACAGAGAACTTCATGATGGTTGGGGATTGGGGAATGTGTTGGTTAAATGATTTTATGAAGGAGTAAATTAGTGGAATGCTTTTAAGTATTCATTATACTTATTTCTAGTTTCGTACAGTGATTTGCATTGTCAAGCCAGTTTTAACACAGCCATAGGGCGCAGCTATAGCAACATTGGCGATAAGATGACTTTTTTTCAAGCCATAACGCTGATATTGCTCACATTGCATCTAAGTTATTGTATTGATGCAGATGACGATGTAGATGACGAAGACATCTCTGTGATGAGATTATTTGCAGACCTAGCCAATGATGTATGTCACGAGCGAGGGGACTGTTTTAATAATGTATTGGAAGAACTTATATTTCTTATCAGTGGGGACCCATACGACCCCACAGATAGGGATACTGGGTCGACGAGAATGACAGTATTGCTGGAAGTTATCGATGACAAGTGTGAAATGGGTAAGGAATGCACGGATAACTTGTTAGCAAAAATGAGAGACCGTGTTATGAATGAACGTGAAGAATACAATGATGAAGTCAATGAATCAAATCGAATAAAAAATGATACCACTAAAGCCAGTAATGAACCCGAAAAGGCTACAAGGACAGCAGAACTTGAAGTAGCTTCAAGGACAGTAGATAACGATGAAAAATTGTTCCAGAATGAACTATCGGAAAACCGGAGCCTTCGAATGAACCAAAATTACGACACTAAAATTAAGAACAAATTGAAAGAGGCTCCGACAGTCGATCAACCATCGGACAACCTTCAACGTCGAGTGAAAAAGTCCGATGATAATGGGGATGGCGACTTCAAAGTAAGTATTTTTGAACGTTTTGAACTAAAAGAGAATCTAGATGAAACTATTCTAAATATGATGGTCAAAGATGAGTGTCAACAGAACAGGGCAGAATGTGCAAAATGGGTAGCAAAGCAAAAGAAACTTGGCCTCGATCATGTAGGCAAGATAACGCATGATAAGGACGGAAATCCGGAAGTTGAAGTTCCCTTGAGTGTTATTTTCGAGGGAGAACTCAATATAGCTGATGGTAGCGATGACCCAGAATAGTTCTTTTCGTTATGTCAGCTAAATATTTGTTGTAATTTTCATGTAATATTTACATTGTACATATAATTTTTTTCGATAAAATTTAAAAAAGTTCACTTTCCAATTATACCAATAAACTGTATACCTGGTGGGGAAGGAATAGGCTGGCATTCCCTCAATCTAGCTGTTGAGAATGAAAGGTGTGCCATCTTGTTCGGTGAGAAGTGTGAACCGTGAGATCTAGCTTTAAACTCCTGGGCCATTTGTCTGAGTTCTACAACTTCATTGTACCAGTTTACCTGTAAGTGAAGCTTGATTCATTTGCTTGTTTGCTTAAGTCATCCCGTGAAAAATAGAAATAAAATCTAACAAAATAACTTATTGTCATTATTAGAACACTTTGTGTCAATATATACATTTTTTAGAAGAATACTGATCAAAATCTTACAGAATTGGCTGGTTTAGGTGTTGCTATTTCACTTGGGTCTGGTTTTATTAGATTCGCAACTCGCTCTGGACTCTGAAGAAATAAAACAATTAAATAACGATCTCATTATGTCACGTCAAAGGCTACATTTAAAGTGTGGAAATAATCACAAAATATGCGATCCCACAAATTTTATAATTTTATCACAAAATTAAAATGCAGAAATTATGTAGGGTAAATTATGCGATTCCGCAACTAAATGGTGCCTCTGCTCGACGTAGCATGACGCGAAATGTCACTCTCATATCACGCCGCAGCTTCTTAATAATTATCGACATAATCCTACTCATGTTCCGAGTAATTAGAGAATTAAGAGTCATCTAACGTCACATTTGACACCCCAAAGAGGAGGTTTTTGTCAATTTAATACTCATATTTCATAACATCTGGAAACGAAGGGCGGACATTGTGCCGAACCATCTGCCGATCACCAGCTCACAAAATGATAGTCACGTGACCAGGATAAATGTGTATTTAACTAGACTGTAAAACATACCGCGGCTTTGTAAGGATGACTGCGTCTACCGTACGCTGTGGGTGCTATTGGAGCCTCTTTTGTTGGGCTCTCGAACTTTGATTTGTACTCAGACTTCCAGTTGAGCTTGGTTGGTCTGACTGCCGCTATTATGTCGTATGTTGCTTTTATCTGCATTTTGGGGTTTTACGATCCGTGTACTGATATCAGATACTGTGGAACTAAATAGATATATGAATTTTTAATCACGTGCAACATCACGGAAGTTATAATTATATTTCCCACATAAGAGCAAAAATAATTTAAACCTTACCTTAGGAACTCCCTTCAGAGGACTGACAATCTTCAACTTAACCTTCTTTTCAGGTGCTTTAGCAACCGCATCTTTAATTTCGGGTTCTTTGACCTCAAGCTTCTTGACAGGTACAGCTTCCTCAGCTGGTTCTGCTCTTTCTGCTTTCTCTAAAAAAGAGAAATTATAAAAGGTAAGGTTCATTGATCCAGGTTACAGTTTCAACGTGTCACTATCGTCTGCCTATTATATCATAATATTATCATTATGATATTATCATGGGAGTCCTAGTATAGGTGTAGAGCAAGACCAGCCGTGGCATAATCTGTTTCTACAGCCCTCGAGCTGATACAGGACTTAACAACACTGGATCAATCGTAGGGCTTATGATTGATAGAATGCTATGGAGAATATTGTACAATACTAAATATTGAAATGTAATCATCTCGGCTAGTTCGTCCCCATACAATATCGAGCAATAATTGTTATTTGCTTTGATGAAATAATGCAGTTGACAATGGTCACTTCAACTGCTAAAAGCCTCTTTATGTTAAGTTTAATATCTTTAATGAAATCGTGGCTACAGAGCATTGTTTAACTCAACCATTACTAAACACATGTATCTCATCACAATAATAAGAAGACCCTCTCCTTCAAGTTGCACGCGAGGTATAAATACCACATCTTCAAACAAACCTAGCTCAAGTCGTTTCCTCCTCACTTGTTCCTTGTAGAGCTCTCTAACGTAGTGAAGTTCTGAGGTAGGGTCCTGGTACCTGGACTCGTACTCTGAACGTACTTTTTTATCCACTGAAATTGAGGGGTTCATTCTAGCTGGGTTGAGTGGGGTGCTGTAATCTTGTAATCAAATAGTGTTAATGAGGGGGGGGGGGTCTTTTTGAAATTTCTCTCGAAATTGATTTTATAGTTGTTTTTGATAGAGGGGAGTGATATCTATCTGTTGCTTTTGGTCCCATGGAAAAATATTGTTCCTAGCCGAAGTTATTGCCGGTCAAAGGTCAGCGCTCATGTGTAATTGTATTGCGCGAGAGATTTTCAATCACGCGCCCTGAAAATCACGCGAGCGATTGAAAATCGCTCGCGCAATACAATTACACATGAGCGCTGACCTTTGACCGGCAATAACTTCGGCTAGGAACAATATTTTTCCATGGGACCAAAAGCAACACTCCCCTCTATCAAAAACAACTATAAAATCAATTTCGAGAGAAATTTCAAAAAGACCCCCCCCCCCCCCTGCCCCCTTAAATGACCTTGTTACTTTACTTTAAATACCATGGATTTTCTTAAAGTTTCTGGCGAGTCGCCAGAAACTTTAAGAAAATTCATGGTAGTGGCTATAGCTACGTTGTAACTAGTTTCATGTTCGCTGTAATCACTTTAAAAATGTGATCTTCTAACAGACTAAAGATGGCACATACCTGGTTTTTTGCCGATGGGTAAGTTGGTTTTACTGTCCACGAAGTTGATTTTAGAATTTTGGATAGGGGATGATGGTCGAGCCACGATTCCTTTGGTTGGTGAGAATCTTAAGGCGTATTCACTTTTATATCGGGCTGAGTTGATGTTTTTAGAAAGACCTGCTTTCTTTTCCAAACTCTTGTCCACCTATGGAATTATTGATTTATCCATTTTTTGGTATTTTTGATAGATAGGTTATTAATTAGTAAATATATGCAGTTTTTCAGGGTTCTATTTAAAACAGCTTAAGTTTGATGAAAGATGATACTAACCTTTTTATTTACCTTATCGGACTTTATTTGAACGGACATTAATTGGACGCTGGAGGCCCTAGCGTACATTTTAAAGTCCTTTCAAATATAGTCCGACAAGGTAGTTAAATTAAATACATTAATTGAATGCCTTCGAGCATTTATTTTAATGTCCGTTAAAAATCAAGTACGTTCACGCAATGTCCGGTCAAATAACGTCCGATAAGGTATTTGTTTTCACTGAAGGCGTTAGACACAAATACACGATCCAAGCAATGGAATTAGCTGAGCGATTTAAACGATATTATCATTACATATTATGTAATATTACATTAGCTATGTTATGTTCTGTCAATATAATATGCTACGAACCTTCATTCGTTCAGGGCTGGCACCTGGGACCCTCTTTTTGTGTGAGAATGATGGTTCCCTGACTATGTGTAACTCTTTTGAGGGAGACCCAAACGTTCTTACAACCTCCGGTAACTCTGAAACACAATCACAATTACATTAAACTGCAGTTTAGCATCTTAGCACCTTGAAGATTTGATAAGTATGTAGATGTTACTGTCTAGTGTCTAGTACATCTGTAGTTCTGGTTATGATTATATAACACGTGAGGTACACACTGGGCAGAGAAAATGTTGTGTACTCGTTTTAGCACAGTATTTTAGCGTAGTATTTTAGGGCATATATTAGTGTACGACATTTAGTACAGCAGGGTAGAGCAGAGAGTTCATTTTAACATCTCTGTTTTGATTATCAGAGGGTTCATTTTAACACCTCTGTTTTGGTCACAAGGAGGATAGTGTGGGAATTGTTTAGATATTGCTAGAGAGAGTTCATTTTAACATCTCTGTTTTGATTATCAGAGCTGAGGGTGCATTTTAGCACCTCTGTTTTTGTTACAAGGAGGATAGTTTGGGTATTGTTTAGAGATTGCTAAAACGAGTGGGAGATTGTTTATACTATCTGGGGATATTTAAGAGTGGGCCTGTTGGATAGCAAGTTACACTTTTTGGTTTTAGTACAGTAGTTTAGTAATCGCAATTCTGAATTTATTCGAGATTATATTGAGGAACATTGAGACATTGTAATCGCAATTCTCAATCACGTATTCAATTTGAAGTACTTTCTCTTGTCATCTTCCTGAACCAAATTGTTATGTAAGGAAAAGACCGTTTTATCAAAAATATTAGATAAAAATATATAATAAAAATTGCCACTGGAGAAAAATTCTAATCTATACCTCAATGCCTTTATAATATCGTGACTCATTGCTTCAATGGTTCAGTAATGAGCCTTTAATCGATATGATAATAATTAATAAATGCCCGTAGATTATCTACTATAATTTGCCACTTAACTAGAGCATACGTTCACTTCTATATTAATTACCCACTAAAGTAGCGCAGGACAGATCAAGATACCATGGAAACTGTGGGACAAATTTATAATTGATCCATTTTTCTCATTTACAGCGCCAATTACAGCGCTGAACAGCTGCTGGATTTAACGTTACAGCTGAGGCAATGTTAAACTTTGTTAGTTCAATAAAGAAAAAGAGCTCATTTTCTAGTTATTGGCATGAACATTTTGTTAAGGTAGTTGAACTTGAAAAGTTTCCAACGAACATCTAATAATACCGATTTCAAATTCTCGTAGTTGTCTATTGACCCTGTTACGTACTCAATCATAGTAAATTATAAAATATTAATCTTATGTTCAGATTCAGATAAACTACCTGCATCTTACCAAGCTAACTCCGTCTGTGTTATTTAATTAAGGTTATTCGTGCTATCTCAGTTTTGTTAGGAAAGTAATAATTATTATACGTCGTAATATTTTAATCTTACATAATTATGTAAGCCCTCTCCCTATCAAAGATGTTGGCAATTGACCATGTCTGATAAGAATGCTAGTGACATGTGACGGCTAAATATAAAGTCTACAGTTTCTGCGATTTACTAATAACATGTCAGAGACAATTTATTTTATTGGGTGATAATGATGTGCTGGAAGAGAGACTTATTGATAATTTTGTTAGATAATTAGTTAATTAACTTGTTCTACCGGTTACAATAGAGTTTACTATCTTTACAGACTGAGTTAATGCAGGCTAATGCACTGTTAATTCGCAGTGATCATTTTTAATGCAGTGATAATTTTCGTTACAGTTAAAAGTTTGAACTTTTTTGTATTATTTGCTTAATGAACGTAATTTGCGTCATTATCGAGACAGGAATCGATAATTTATGACGATTACCTTCTTTTGAAGCTAGCTCAAGTGTTGGTCGTTGGTTAGCTTGAAAAGGTGGTTCAGCTACTTTATGTTCCTTGAAACTAGGGCACCCTGCTATAGGGTTAGCTGGAGGTAGTTCGTGCCATGTATACTGTCTGTTGTATTCAGAGATGGCCTGAAATAAGAGAGATGGGCGTTAAATTTGTATTATATTTCAATAATCAATTGTATGTTGTGTACAACAATATTAAACAATTAAGAGTAATATCAACTCCAAGAAATATTTGCAACAAACCTTCATTCCCATAGTCATGTAGATTCGTCTGAAAGACCACTTTTACCTTCACCTGGTCATTCTAAGTTCATCTACAAATAATAAACATAGTAAACTGAAGTCATCTAGTTCGAGAACAATTTAACATTCTGATAGCTTATCATTTTGTCATTTATATCGTTTGTCTGGATTTTCCTTGTAACCCTAGTAACCATATATATATATATAATAGGCACAAACTATGTTGTAGTGCATTTCCAGCATTATTAAATATGCTTTAAACGAAAACAATTTATATCGATTTTGATAATAAGAACATGCATAACATTTATATACAGCCACAGGAAACATAAGCGGGCCTCTTGTTCGACTAAACTATTCTTATCATCATCAGTAATTGTTTAATATTTGTTTCCGGCCTCATTTATTATACTCTAATAATATGGTCCTAGAACTTAATTTCATATTATTACGACAGTCTTATTCTGCTTATTATAACTGCTTATTATTAATAAGCAGTAATAATAGCTAAACAAATGGCAACAAACAAATGTTACGATATTCGTAGTTGCCATATCTTTATGATAAGTATCACAGCTGTTTATTTTTTATTTATATTTTTACTTTTGTACGCCCAGGTGATCTGTGTTGTTGGTTCCAGACAACAACATTAAACCCCAGATTTAAAGCTAATTAACACAAGGGTAATTAACACAATTCCAAGACTAATTTAGATTAATCACATGCTAGCTCGGCATCACCTTGTTAACCACGTCTAGACACCAATAAAGGCATCAACAAGTCATTATTATTAAGTACCTTTACTTTGGTATTACACTCTATTTGAATCACACCTCTCCTATTGTATCACGGTTTGGGGTGGGGCAGCCAAAACTCGTATAAGTTCTGTATTCAAAGCACAAAAATATTGTCTCAGGGTACTGTTTGGCGACAGGGAGGCATACCTAGATAAATTTAAGACCTGTGCTCGTGCTCGACCGTTTGGCAACCAAAATCTGAACAAAAAATTTTTCTTGAAAGAGCACACGAAACCTTTGTTCAAGGAACACGGAATACTTGCCGTCCAAAACCTGTACACTTACCATTGTTTCCTTGAGCTCTATAAAATCATGAAATTCCGTGCTCCGATTTCCCTCCATGAAAATTTCACCTGCTCAAGTAGGAAACCCACCCTTATACTAAGCCAAGCAGACCCCCCTGACAACTTCAATAGCAGAACGACTCGTATTTGGAACGTAATTGTGCCTAAGCTTGGTATACGTGACTACTGTCTAAGTGTGGCCTGCCTGAAGTCTAGGATGAAGCAATCACTGCTCGTCAACCAGCATAACCATGCTGATCTTGATTGGACAAACAAAGATTTCGAATGCTCTAATCTAAATTTTGACATTAAGTCTACCCTAGGGTCCACACATCCAAAATGATTATCTTGAAATTGAAAATTAGCTGGGTGTGCATTTTCCTTTGTCTTACTAACGTGTGTGAGCGCAGTGTAGTGAGAAAGTGTTTTTAACAGATTTATTATTAGACTTAGGATTATGATTTTTAATATATTACATTGATATAAGATTTATTTTTGATAGGTACTTAATAAAGTTGATGAATTTCCCTCCCTATTAAAATTTTAAACCCATTTAGTGAAAATTGATAAACGAAGATCTAGATATTGATACATATTATAACCAACATTGCTTATATTCTGCCTTGTAAACAAAGAGCAAATCTTCTTAATGCCTTCTTCCTGTCCTAAAACTAAAACTTCATCCTATTAAAGTAAAGGCCAGTTGTTACCACAAGCTATTATACCGTCCCTCTCAAAAACATGCCTCAGCCTCCATCAAAAACAATTTTAGTTTTCAGTCCTTCTAGTTTCCAAAAATCTACCGAGCTAGTGTTCTGGTGTGCACAAAAGCCCCTAAGCCCGTGCATTCCTTGCCCCGCTAGCTGCCAGTCCTTGACAAACTTCCAATAGCAAAGATCAACTAGTCATTTACAAATTGAGCACTATACAATTTTAATTGTTTTAAATATTTGACTTTGTAAAATGAGCTAAAACATTGATTTATTAGTTTCATTGATTTATTAGTTTCATTGATATAACACCGTGTTGTCACATCTACCCTCTAGCTCGCATTTTATTAAATACTATTTTATTACAACAAAATCCTCATTTTATTAGGATTGATTCATTTTGATGTTTGCACATTATCACTACTCGTACATTTAGTTTTAATTTTAGAGTTCTACTTGGCAATATATTGATAGATTTCGAACAACTCTTGGTAAATCGTCAGATCAATCTGATCAACATAATTAGACCAATGACTCAGATATCGAGGAGTCTATAATAACACCTAACCGTTGTCCCCAAAATTAGATGGCTATATAACTGAGTTACTTATCTGTGATCCATGTTAATTACGATCATCTGTCCATGTAAAGGCTTGATACACAGAACAGAATTCAGTAAAGCCAACTGAGTCACAGCAGTTAGCTGAGTTGAATCATTGTTATGGCATTTTAACTATCAACTAACTTTTGATACACATTTTTATAAAGAATTTGTATGCCAATTTGATTCGAAGGTCAAAACAGAAAGTTACAATTGACCGTATCTTTTGCACAGGAATGAATGGAGTATCCCTCTACGCAGCTTTCCTCATATCCTACAACAGCATTTCCTCACTTGTAGGTCTGCTGGGGAATGGTATTGTCCTCCGTGCATGTTTTACAAGATCAGCCTTCAGACTGGACAAAGTAACAATCCTACTTATTCAGAATTTAGCTGTATCAGACTTTCTGTATATGCTGTTGGTAATTCTACCTTCCTTCAACTCCTACATCGGCAACAAATGGAACATGGGGAATGTATCTTGCTACATGGTTGGATTCGCTGGGACATGGCTTGCTTCAGCTAATTTACACTTCATCCTCTTTGTTACCGCTCACAGGTTTCTCAAGTGTGTCCGGCCATGGCGGATGCGTCAGGTTAAAAGACACCACATAAACACAATCTCATTGATTATATGGGTGTTTTCATCCTTGAAGATGGTGATCCTTTCAGCTATGGGTGCTGAAATATCCTACAACAATGACATATATCGATGCGGTGTGGATTATGTTGGGTTCGGAAAACAGAGACCACAGATTCTCATTTTTCTTTGGATATTTGGGAAATGGGCCCCCTTTACTTTGGTCATGATTTTAAATGTATCCCTTATGATCATAGCTCGGCAGAAATTTAGAAGGACAACAGCAAGAGGAATCATGACAATTTCATCCATCTCAATCCTTCTCATTTTATCATGGATGCCAGCACAGATTTACAGCATCATGGGAGCTGTTCGGTATTCATCAACCAAGACAGTTAAGTTTTCGAAATTGCTGCCTACAACTTTTACTTGATAAGTGTTTTTGGTAACCCAATAATATATGGCTTGCAAAACAAACACTTTGCAACTTTTGTGAAAGATGTCTGGAAAAATATGTCAAGAAGTCTAGTGACTGCGTGGTCGGAGAAACTTACATTATAGAACAGGACAAAATCTAATATAAGGTGATTGAATGATCTGATTTCATTGGAATTTTGGAAAAGATATGCAGTTGAGGTTTCAGTGACCATCAGTGAAACATTTTTCATTTAAGATTTTGGGAAAGTTTCCGGGTATGGTGGCCATGAACTCTTTCAGTAAATGTTCCTGTGATCAAAATACTAACAGGATAGTGATTCTGTTACGTAAAATATAAATAATTTCTTGATATAATTGCTGATGGCCATTGTTAGCCCCAAGCGTTTTGGTCCGTCATTCCTGCCACTCAGCATTGCCTACTGTAAAGTAGAAATTTTTCTGAGACAATAGAGAAACTGACCTTGTCTCACTAAATTCAACCACTTTCCATAATAAAAATACTAACAAATAAAGTTTTTTAAATAATTATATACAACCACTAAAGAATATTTCCTCAAGTTTACTTCTAGTTAACTAATTCGTGGTTTAAGCTCTTATTTTATTTATGATTTGAAACTTTTACAAATAGTACATTATACAATACAGCAAAGAGAATTAAAAATATACGACATTATTATCATGAGGCATTTGTAGGGTAAAAGTTGTAGTCCATATTGTATAAATACTAAAAGCATGGTTAAGTGGTACAAGTTCTGGGGGTATACGTATTACAAGTAATAGTTCTACTCCCAGACTCACTAACACCACCTCCATCTAAACACACAAAATGTATCTAAAACACGCAAATTTAGAATTATCAAAATAAATACATAATGTATCCATGACCTGACTCATAGTGCGCCAAAAATTGCGCGCGTATCATCACACAGCGCTTAGTCTAAGCAAGATTACAGTCGGATATAAAGTTCGCGTAATCCAGTTAAGTATATTAACTGAGGATTGCACCAGGGTCAAATCATGGTGACAGAACGTAAATGTTATTTAATATTATTTAATAGATTTATTTTTATATTATAGTTGTTATATTCAGTATCGTGACCGATCTATCAGTGGCGGGGGCCCACATATAAATATCATTTGCACTCATTAACTTAGTCAGGGTCTGTCAATTTGTCCCAAAAGTGTTTTGCCAGGTTTGCCTTAAAAGTTCCGGCATCACTTATCTCTTTAAGGTCAGTTGGTAGGTCATTCCAGACACTGTGTGTTCTGAAGAAGAAGCTTCTCTTAAAGGAGTGAGCTTTTATTTCCACAGTACACTTCAGGGAAAGGTGGTCGTGTCTGTTCTGTCGCCTCTGGTTGATATCAGGCATTTGAGATGTATCAACTTCATTATATCTCGAGGGTTGCCTTATGTTTGAACGCAACCTACCCTGTTCACTGGTTGTTATCGGGGTTAAATAAGGTGGGAGCTTCAGAACAGATTGACCATTGTATATCTGATGGAATAATAGTAAGTCTGTGTATTCAAACTTCAGCTCCATTGGCAACATGTCTAGCTCTCTTAATCGAGCCAAGTATTCTAAGTCATTATAGTGATGATCCTGTTCGCCAAGGATCCACTTAACTGCTCTGCGTTGAATGTTTTCAACTTTGTTATTCAAGACAACACTTGTTGGTCTCCAGACAACACTGCAATTTTCGAAAAGGCTCCTAACCAGCGCTAGATAGAATGCCCGTTTTTGTTTACGGTCGTTAA